ATTTATTAAGTTACTGGTTTGTTGTTTATCCTTTTTAAGACAGGAGCAGAATGCTGTGGTCACAATAAAAAATACTCTAGAAACCAGTTATTTTCACACTACCTGTAGCTTGTCTTTTCTTTTGCTCCATCAACTCGAGTAAATGCTGACAGAACATGGATTTACCAAAGAGGGAAATAGAGCCAGGAGCTCCTTTTCCTATTGGTTTGCTTCACCGTGGCATGTTCTCTTCATCAAAGGGTGCTGTGCTTGTGCCAAACAAGTTGCTCACTCTCTTCACAGCTGCCTTGCTCCCTAAGGAACACAGACAATTATTTGGTTAGCCTACCTCGCCTTGGAGGAGTATTAACAAAAGCAATTTAAAAAGCCGAGAAAGATTATTCAAAGCTAAGTCGTGCAGCTACCACCATGCTTGCTTGTTCTAGTCAGACCTCGTTTAGACGTAAAATTGGAGAGTATGGTGTGGGGTAAGTAGAGGTAGAGGGGTGTGACTGCTACCAGCTCTGTGCTTCTCGTCCGTGAGCAGCTCGCCCTTTCGGCGACGTATTCCAGCATTTATCTAGTCTGTCTTCTTGCCTAGTTTTCATGTGTTTGCTTACAGATGAATCTGCTTTCACTATTATAATATGTTCTTGTTTAAGTTGCATTTGCTTCATGTCTCTTTCCCCTAGAAGAAACTTTATCACGTTTCTTTTCTACTTTTTTTTTAATAATGATTATTAATTTGCAAACTCTCAAGGTGTAATGTGCTACACTCTCAAGGCGGCTGGAAACCTTGTTTTCCCACTAATGTGTGTTTGATTTTACTTGCCCGAGGGGACGACGATCTCCCGGCAGGCTCCTGCTGAAAGAGCCGCCACACCGGCCGCAAACGCAGGTTACCGTGGACGCCTGGGCCTACCCCCCTGCGCTCGAGGGGGGATGCAGCACCGGCCTGGCCCTCCCGCAGCCCCGGGGCGGGGCGGAAGAGACCCCGCCTCCTCCCCCCGGCGCCCAGGAGACCGGCGGCGGGCGCGGCATGGCGGCGCGGCGGGCGGGCTCCGGCGGGGTGAGGGCCCGGCGGGGACGGGTCGGGCGGGGAACGGTTTGCCCGCGGCGGGGCCGCCTCTGGAGCGGGCCGGACGGGAAGCGGGAGTTAAAGCGCCAGTGGTCACGGCAGAGCCGACCCCGGGGGCTGCAGCTAGGTGTGGCAGGCTGTGAGCACTTGCGGCTGCGGCGAGAGGATGGTCCGTCTCGAGTCGTTGCTGAAGAGGCGTTCCGGGGCTGTCAGCGGCAGCCGCTGCTGCCGGGGAGACGGAGCTGAAGCCGGACGTGACCGCGGGGCGCCCTGGCAGCGCAGGCGGGGCCCGGGCGGCCGCTACCCACAGGACGGGGGAGTAGCCGGCCGCAGGGTGCCACGATTCGGCTCATGCTGTGCTGGGGGTGCGAGCACTGCCTCGTTGTTCTTATATTTTCATCCACGTATAGTTCGCGTAAGAAGATACTTCTGCAAAGCTTTAAATCTATGAAGACAGGTTAGGTGTTTTTAAATGTTAGAGTTCGTGTACAGGTGCCCCCTCCTAGATCTCTCGGTGGCAGCTTTTCTCGCTGTACTTGGGGGAATAAATACGTGTGCTTGCTGCTGTTCCATCGAGGCGCACTTAGGAGTGAAGGCGTTTTCTGCTCAGCGTCCCTGAATGGACACCTTGGAGATTGGGCAGATTGGGTTTTTGCTCCTGAGTCAGAGTTCCCAGGTGAATCCCACCTTCCTGGGGCCTGGCTTATGTGCACAAACACAGGGGTTCACTGAGGCAACAGCTCTCTGGTTTACGTAAGTGTCTTGGCTTCAGGGATGCCACGAATGTGTTAACACTCGGCAGCTCTTCTGTCAGTGACAAAGTGTCCCTGGAAACCCGTGCCCACACTCACCCTTTCGGTAGAGCTTGGAGTAAGTTCCTTCAGCCTCTGTGAAACTAAAAGTTAATACAGCAAAGCTGATACCTGTATGGCATAGCTGGGGACACCCATAGAGATGGGACAGATGAGGAGTCATCACTGCCTGCTTGCATGTGATTTTGTTTGTTGCAAGGAATAAACAGTGCAGAAATTATTTCACTTTTCAGTTGTTTTGTAGAAGGTAACAAAAGAGGTACTACAGAACACATAATACTGTACAGGCAATGAATGCTAGTATAAAAGGTTTTGGGGTTAGGGTTTTTTGTTTGTTTTTAGAGGGTTTCAGATTTATTTATTCTTTTTTTAAATACCAGCTATGCTAAGCATTTAATAATTACTGCCACAGGAGTGTAGGAAACAATAAAAGTCATAAGCTCTGACCTTTATGGTGCACCAGTATTGTATGACCACTGCTGGGCAGCTGGCTGGGTACTGCTCAGGGTGGGCTTTTCTCTACCTGTATAAAACAGCACTTGCTGTCAGTGCAGCGTGGTCAAAATCCAGGTGAAAGATTTGAGGCCTAATCCTGCAAACCCTTCCTTGCACGAGGTGTCTCATTCACTTTGGATGAACAAACCTAGGCGGATCCTGTACCAGCACACAGTTACAGATTTCTCAGTGCAATTAGCATTTGCTACCACAGAACAAACTGCTGTTTCAGATGGGAATAGTACTGGGCCCTAACCCACGGGCAGGAAGGTCATGTCCAGCTAATCCTGGCTGCTAGAAGCTTATTTTTAGTTCAGAATTAGCTGAGGTTCAGCGTTAGCAGCGTGAGGGAGTATAGACCGGTTCACAGTGCCTCTTTCAGGGAACAGCTTCAAATGATATGGGAAAGAAACAAGTGGTAAGTTTGGAGATCCTTGAGTCTTACCAGTCTGACAGCCTTTTTTATTTCTCATATCAATTGAATTTTTGAAGCATGGTAATATTCATGCATCCTTTTTCAATATAATGATAGAATACAAAATCTGAAAGTAAGCTCTTCTTCTAGATGAGAGAAAGTGCAAGAGCTCAGTTTCAGGTTGTTGACAGGAGATACTTATTTTTAGATTTTAGTTGTGTTTGACCTGCTGGTAACTATTTTCAAGATTACATGAAAATTAATGTTTTTATGATACTTGAAAGTATTTCTCATAAATAAGCTTATGTCCTTTTATTGTTTTTACTATTATTCTGGATTTAGACTTCACTAATAGAAAATACTCAGCTCATGCTGCTTAGCGTGCAAGTACTTTGAATGCATAAATTATTGTGGTATTTTGGTATTTAAATAGAATGAATAACAAGCTTTCCCAAGAAAAGCAATACCTTGCATGAAAAGTAAAAATCATTCAAGTGAAATTCAAATGCAAGCTGTGCCTCACACACAGCTGTTAGGTACATGTCCCTAATGTAGTGCCCATCAGAACTCCTCGCAAAAGTGTGTTATTCCTGCTTCTTTTACATATTACTTTTATGTAACACCCCCATCAGTAGTCTCTAGCTATTTAAGAGGCATACAAAGCAAAGCATACTTAGTGCTTTCTGACTGTATCTCGAAATAGCTGTTTTATCAGAGCTGGTTTCACATTGACAGAAGTTAACTTTTTTCTCTCTTTTGTCTTTAAGTGCCCACCTCGTGCCCTCCCTCCAGTGCCAAGGTAAAAGCAGTTCATTCTGTAGAACTGATCATGGCTCTGTATTGCAGTGTTTATAAAAGTAATGAATTTAAGAGAAATAAGTTCAGCAAACATCTCAGTAGTCATAATGGCTTTTAAAATAATTGCTTTTCTTGCTAGTTTATTGTCCCAGAGCCCTGTACAAGGAATACAGAGCATTTTAAAGCTTTATAGAGGCTGGGAAATTTTACAGTATTACCTGAGCTTTAATGCTCTGAGAGATGACCCCTTTCAAAAGTTTCAGACAAGTAACTACTTCAGTTTTATTAACCTCTACTTTAGTTCTGTTGATGTTCCTTTTAATCTTCCCTCCCTCTTTGTTCTGTGTCATGTCCTTTAGTTTCTTCGCACCACAGGAGCTTCAAAACAGGAATTTCTGAAATGAGATATATTTGAATAGGGGTATAGGTGTCTACTAGTTAGACATATTATAGGGAAAAATTTGGTGGTTTTTTTTTTGTGTGGAAGGCACAGCAGTTATATAGCTTTTATGACATGGTACTTCAAAATTCCTTCAGAGTACCTAAAAGCAAATGTGATATTCATGATTGATGACGTAAAGGTACAGTCTTTTTAGTAACGTATGTGCTCAAATGTGTCATAACTTTTGTTGGTTACATGTCAGGCAGTAAGACAAATTTTAATTAGCCAGGTGATTAAAGTTTTTAATCTGATCCACAGTTGCCAATCAAGAAATGGTGCGGACGCATGAACAAAGTGTTGAGTCTTGATGGTTGCCTCATACCCTTAACCCTGTTGTACACAACTGCATGTAGCAGGGATAAGGAAATGAATCACAAAAGCAGCAGTGTGAATTTCACTGTTATGAATTGTAATTGATTGCAAATCAACTTTTTTCTCATCTTTGTTCCTTTTACACTGCTCTCCAACACCTTTTCTCCTTAAATGTGAAGTGGAAACCAAGGTGAGTTATCCTGGCATGAAAGAGAATTATAAACATTAATAGTTTCTTTTGATGTCACTTCATCCTCTCTTTAAAGGTAGAGCCTTAGACCTTTCCTGATTGGTTATTTAAATTGCATAGATACCTGTGATTGCTAGAACTGTCTGTTGCTTTTCTTTGTTCTCTTTGCTATTTCCAGACTTAATCAAGGTAACTGAAATGTTGTCACTATGCTCTAAACAATTCAGAGCATTATTCAGGGTATTTAAGTTTTTCACCTAACACGTGTACATGTGTGTATTTAGCCTCTGTTGCATGTAAGACAGATTTCTTACCCTGCTTTCCTGCCATCTTCTGTACTCCTGTTTGTTTGAACTGGTGAGTTGTCTTTTTACCTGTAAAAGGTGAGGGATGTCTTCACCTGTAAAGAGGAACTCCTTTCTTAACTGGCAGTAGAACGGCTGTTATAAAAAGGAAATTGAGGTTTCTCCATGCTGTGAACTTACAATTTTATTTCATCTTCTGCAGATGAAATTCCACTCAGTCGTCCCAAAAAAAAGAAACCTAAAGGAAAGACTCCATTAGGTAAGGTCCTGCCAAGACTGAAAACTCTGCGAGTAACCCAGGGTGAGACCTGTGTGGTAGCCAAGCTCCTGACAGATACATGGTTTTCATGGTTTCTTGTGCTGCATTTTTGGGTAGTGTTCTCAGCTAATTTTTTACAATTTATTTTATGTTGAATGACTGCAGTCTTTTTCTCGAAAGTGCTGTCATTTGAAAACCAGTCTGTGGTGCTGACTGAACTAACTTGTTCCATCTTCTGCTTTTTCTCTCTAGATCCGTTCCCAGTGCTGCTAATACAGCATGTCTTGATACTGAACTGAAAAAGTTCCTTTATTCCTGTTATTTTTAACTTTCTAAAGAAAATTATCCTAAATTGTCCCAGAGCCTTTTGGGTCCTGTATCCTTGGATACTTCATTAAATAGTCATCTCCAGCTGTAAGATCCTTATTGTGGTGAATGTGTTAAGTGCTTGAATTTCTGAATGAACCAAGATAAAACTCATTTAACAAATTGGCTCAATTTCAGTCCTTGGCTACGTAAATTCACAGCTTCAGCATCTCATTATCACTGAAAAGTTAAGAGCCTAAAAGATGACTGGTACTAGGGGTTTGTATTTTTACAAGAAGCAGATCTGCAGAACAAACATTGTTTTAAACAAGACTAAAAGCTGGATCTATTTTGATAAAGCAGAATGGGGTGATAGAATCTAGTGGATTTCGGTAAATCAGTTGACGTGGGTCCCTATGATGGTTTGCTGAGTAAACCTCCTTTATTTGTGTAAAAGAGCGTAGAATTGAGATGTCACTGAAAGAGCTTTAAATGCAACAAGTAGAGCTGCTGCTGGCATGGCTTCCCAAGGAGCAAATTTGTTTACTATTGTTTTCAGTGAGCTGAATGATGGTGCAAAGAATGCCTTGGCTTTGGCCATTACATTGCGTGTTAATTTTGCTTTTAGCAAAGGTCGGAAAACGTGCTTGAAGTGAAAACAGGTAGATTCAGTTGTCATAAAAACTGAAATACTTGACCTATAAAAAAGCAGATGTGATGTAAAATTGAGAAGTATCTTTGTCTTTCTACCAATAATCATGCAAACTGATGCCACTGCTGCTAGAATATTTGATGAATTCATGTTAACCTCTCACAGAAATGTAGCTCCTCCAAAGCACAGTAGTTTCTCTCTCTGACTGGAGTAAACATCCTTCAGTGTTGGTTTTTTTCTGCTCCTCCTTTATTCTTGTGGTGTATGTTTAGCATTTTAATTTCCTTTTGACATGCCACTGTTTTGCTTTAGCATGTGTCTGTGTGAATCAGCTTGTGATATTTTTTAATATTTTCTTGTCCTTTGCATTATGATCTTTGCATGTAGAAAGGAAAAACATAGAGGTATAGTTCTTTCCCATGGTAGATTCTTTTCAATTGGTCCTCTGTTGTATGTCCAAATGGGAATTTGGCTATTTCTTGGATACACAAATTTTCTCATGGGCATGAAACTGTCAGGGTGAAAGGAGGGTTGTCAGCTGTCACCTTTGTGTATTCTTATCACATTTGCTTCCCAACTGTTATTTTTCCAAGCAAATACATTTTCATCTTAGCTGTAAGCCAGGCAAATACAGGTGTTCTGCACAATGCAGCAAAAGACAGCTTTTTCTTGCCTGTTTCTCAGCGGCTCTGAATTAAGATTGCTGATTCTTTTCATCTGGGTTTCAGATGGCATTGTCCAAGCAGCAGTTCGTCGACAGTCTGAAAGCAGTGAACCCCTAACTCCTGAACCTCAGGATGTCCCTCCTCAGAGGAAACGCAAGAAGAAGAAAGTACCTGTTGGTACGTGAAAGAATTGTAGATTGGAAAGAGCACTGAACAAACTTTGGTAACACAAATATCATTGGCCACCTTGTATTTTGACTTAAAACATTTCATGTGCTTTTGTGCTTACAACAGCTGAAAGCAATCTCTAAGTGAATGATAAGAGTTTCAGTTTCTGATTTTAGATTCCATCCCCTTGTGAAAATAATGGCAATATGGCAACGGCAAATGGCAGGTTTGGAAGTGATAAAGTAGATCCTTTATATTATTCAAAGCTCAATAGATCACTTTTTTCCTACTGTTTTTATATAATAAATATTTACGTATGTAAGTGAATGTATTTCCACTTTTATGAAAGCTATGAAACTGTCATGTGGTTTATTTTAAATCTTCAGATTCTGAGACCTCTTTTACCCAGCAAAATGTTGCATCCCTGTTTCAGAATGGAAATGGCATGGATGTCCCTGAAACTGAAGAAACAGTGATCCGCAGACAGAGAAAAAGAACAAAGTGAGACAAACCCCGTATAGCTCATAATTTGGAATAGTTGTGATAGTGAAAAGTGGCTGAGTAGTATTTTACATTCTCACGTTACAAAATGTAAAATCTTGAAGCCCATATTACCATTCAGCCTGTGCAATAACTAGCATGTGTGCAGTTCTTTGCAGGGTTAAGATCTTATTTTGTTTTATGAATACCTGGGTGCATTAAAGGTCTGAATACATTTACATTAGCCTAATATTTCAGTCACATACATTAAAAAATTAGAATGTGCATCTGCTTTTGTTTGTTCTTACCATCTTTTTCTTAATTTTATGAGGAACTTAGTCACTTTTTCATCCTTATTATTTGCCTTTTCTCCAAGAACTATGCCTTGGCTTTCTTGGCTTTGTATTTAGTTTGTATTGGTTTTTCTTTTCCTAATTATTAATCTCTTTATATGTATTTTTCCCACCTTATTGTTTTGACACAGGAAGCTATTTGAAAAGAGAGAAAAAAAAACCCAACCCATAATCAAGGATTAGCTTTATGGGTTTAGTTAACTAACTCCATGAGACATTTAGTCCTTAAAATTATAAATGGGGGGTAATATTACACAGGTCAATAGCCTGATCAGTTCTTAAAAGTCAAGGTAGCCATGTTCATAGAAGCCCTCAGGTTTTGTTTTACTTCCTAATTCTTTCTCTACCCATTGTATGTTCTGTGATGATAGGAAACCTCGGCCAGCTGAAATGCATTGTTCCAATGAGCTGGAAGTGGAGGAGGAAGACATCATTGAAGATGAGCACAGCAGGAGCCCTGATCAGCAGCCTGTGTTTGCTGCTCCCACTGGAGTTAGCCAGCCTGTGAGCAAAGTGTTTGTTGAAAAAAATCGTAAGTACATCTTGTGATTCAAGTTAATATAAGGGCAATCTTGCAATTAAAGGAAAAAATATTGTATTTAAAACCCAAATACTGCAGTTTTGGGAAGTATTTTTAAGAAAGCTTTCCAGAACAAAAAAATATTTGGAAATAAATATACATGATAATTTTTCAACAGTGAATGCTGTGCTGGCATGAATTTTTTAATTCCATAGTGTAGGTGAAAAAGACTGATGATAGTACCCAGCTGAACTTGTTTGAACTCATCCTGTCTCAGTGCCTTGAGAAGAAAGTATCATTTGCTGAATTGCAAAAAAGTCTTTCAAGTGAAAGTTTTTTGGTTGGATTTTCATGGTTTGGATTTTGCTGGTTGGTTGGGGTTTTTTGTACCAGGAAACAGTGAATAATTACCTGAAGTGATTTGCACATTCTCAAATAGCCTGACCCACCAGGGTGCATCACACCAACAGAGACATCCTAGTGTGAATGTAAGCTGGTAAAGAGCAGGAAGTGAGGAGAAGAAATTTTCTGAGGGAACTTATGCTTATGGCTTTTTAACACTAATAACAATGTAGAAATTATGATGGAAGGTAACAATACTCTCTATAAAACTAATTTCCTCATCCTTTCAGGGCGTTTTCAGGCAGCTGACCGTGCAGAATTGATTAAAACCACTGAAAATATCAATGTACTTATGGATGTCAAGGCTTCGTGGACTACCAGAGATGTTGCCCTCTCAGTGCACCGAAGTTTCAGGTGAAGGATAAATGTTTTGATGTAAAGAAGCAGAAATCAGCTTTGCGGGTTTTTTGTGGGGTTGGTCTGGGTGGGTTTTTTTCCTCCTTTGATCCCTGAACACACCTTTTCTTTATCATTATGATGTATCTTTTGTTTCTTTTGGATATTCCTAATAAATGATGGTTTGGGATGGAACAGATATAGAGTTTCTCTTTCCTGTAGCTTTTGATAGTTGTTGTCAAGAATATCTGTTTCTAGTGTAGACATCACAATGCAACTTATAAAAATAATAACTTACAAAATCGTATTTCAGAGATTTGGACAAAATCCAAATAGCAAGAGATTGATTGGATAACAAAAATGTTAGAGACCTGCAGAAAAGTGTGTTACAAAATGAGATTTGCCCATCAGCTATATGACCAGAATAAAAATACCTGAATTCATATAGTTTCAAAGAAAAATCCTAGTTGGTGAGAAAGAAGGAGTAATGAAATTGGACTGGGGCATAAGCTTGCACCCAATAGCCATTGTTTTTATTATTAATATGTAGTTGTGTTGTGATACAGAATAGGAAGAGTACAGCCATTTTCTTCTCTGGTGCATCTTATCTGAAGCCTGTACTTCATTTTCATCTTTTTCTTAGCGAAGAAAATAATAAAAGAAGTACCCTGAAGACAAGTTTAAGAGCATTGTTTAAGTGTAAGGGGCAGCAGTCATGGACAGGTACAGGCAGCAAGTGAAAGCAATAGCAGTAATGGAGTGGTGACAGGATCAGGCAAAACACCTTGGGTTTGTTTGTAACGTGCTCAGGTTCTGGTATAGTCTGTCAAGAGAGGAAGCAGAAGTCCTGCTGTTTAGAATTTTTAGAATTAGATCAGAAAAAATCACTCAGAAACAACCTGTGAAAGGCTGGGATCCTGTCACAGCAGCAGGGTTGAACAGATGGATTCACAGGCCTTTTCTGTCTGTATTTCCTCACTAATTCAAGCCGTTAAACTCTTCTGATGTTCTTTTCTCCATTCAGGGTGATTGGACTCTTTACCCATGGCTTCCTTGCTGGCTACGCTGTGTGGAACATCATTGTTATCTACATTTTGGCAGGAAATCAGCTTTCTACAGTTTCTAACCTGCTCGAGCAGTATAAGGCACTAGCATACCCAGCTCAAAGTTTGTTCTATTTGTTGCTGTCTGTCAGTACAGTCTCAGCCTTTGACAGGTGAAATATGTTTGTATTTTAAAGGGGTATGCAATTTGTGTGCAATATATTTTTTTTTCCACTTCCCTGTGGCACATTGTGATATACTTAAAGACAGATTTTACACATGGCTGGCTATACAGATAAAGGATGTACTTGTGCACTCAGACCTTTGTCGCTCATTTCTGCTGTTGCATATTTCCTCTTTAATGGCTCATAATTGCTTCTGTGTGCTGGTGCTGTTTGTGTGACCATGAACTGAACCAGATGGAAGAGCTGACCTATTTATTATTTGTGGGGGAAAGGGGTGCAGAAAAACTAATGTTCCTACTGGTTAGTTTTCATGTGAATCCATTCCCCAATCAGTTTTGCAACATAGCTGTGTAAACAGTTTTCCTGCCTTAGCTAGGGTTTCTGTGTTACAGCTTAAGAGTGGGAATGAACACATAGAGGAGCAACCATAAACAGAGTAGTTTCATAGTAGTTTCCATGGCAGCATGGTAAGCCAGGGAAGAAATTGGTGCTATGGACAAAACTGTGACTTTTTTTGCCTAGAGTGGTGGCAGGGAGGAGGCCCAAGTTATTCATAATTGCTTCTGGTGTAAGCTGTGTGAGCAGTTGTATTATCATAACTCGGTGGTAGGGACATTGAAATGAATGGTAGGATTAGAGAGGGGACAAACCTCTCCGCGTTCTCCCTGTTCCAGAAAGGACTGCAGTGTGAAAGCTACAAGTCTCATGGAATATCCTCCTTGGTTTCAATCTTTCTTGGATTTGGCATAAAGAGAACCGTTGCCATGTGTGGGGTACAGTTGCATATTAAGGCACTGTAACAGGCAGAAAAAGGTATCTTGCAAAAAGTAAAAGAACAATAGTATAGTTAGAAGAACAATATTATCTTACCAGGTTGTGTTAATGGCTCTTTTTTTTTTTTTTTAATCAGGATTGATTTGGCAAAAGCATCAGTTGCACTGAGGGGCTTTCTTACCCTAGACCCAGCAGCAGTAGCCTCTTTCTGTAAGTATTTTGTAGCAGATAGTTGTCCAGAAAGAATGCTAAATGAAAAAATTCTACATACTGTTTTCAGTGAAATCTTCCTGGTTATTTTCTGCTTTAGAACAAGGAACTTGCCCAGTAGTTAAAAATAGCATTCAAAGGCTACAAACACTTTGCTACATCCTTTTTAAAAGCATTTGCAATAGTAGCATTAGTGGGGCTATTTGTGAGAGAGTTCCCACCCCTGAACACAGAACACAGACCTAGCAGAAAACAGAATCACAAGGTGCCACCTTTGACATAGCTGATGGCTTGCAAAAGTGCAAAAAACAGATTTTGATGGGCTGGGGGAATGTTGAAGATGAGAGAACGAGTTGAAGGATACTATCATTGGAAGCAGTGGAGTGAAAGAAAAGAAAATGTAGTGATAATTGTCACAATGAATCAGCATTTTAGGGGTTTATATCTGACACTACTAATTCCATTTCTTCCAGTGTACTTTGCTGCTCTTATCTTATCCTTAAGCCAGCAGATGACATGTGACAGAATTAACCTCTACACACCACCTTCAGAAAATGGCAGCATCTGGTAGGAAACTTAAGCAATCACGTCTGTAAATTTTAACATATAATTTAAATATAACATTATAACTTAGGAACCTTAGTCAAACTTGTGGACTGAAAAGGTTATACAACATACATGAGGAAGTATTAATGAAGGATTTCATTACTAAACCTGCCTTTGCCTGAGCTCATCCTGAATCTTTGATAATTTCGCTGAAAAAAGAGGACTCAAGGATGGGTTCGATCATGTTGATTGCAAATCTGTACCTCAAACAAGAGCCTGGTGGAATAATCCTGAAAACGTCATCTGGCAGGAACCTTAGCAATCTATTTTGCTGAAGAAGTGAGACCCTACCGAGGTAACCCTTTTGTTTTCAGGGCCAGGACATTCTGTAGAGAGTCAGCACTTTGAAGGTGATAATCTAATCTGTCCAAGAAACAAATGTCATGGTATTACGAAAAAGTGGTATGTTTATGGGTTTAGCAGACACATCTGGTATTAAATACAAAGCATTGTCTCAGGAGATCCCATCCAAAACTATTACTTTTGGAAGTAGATACATGAAGATTTGCTGGTTAGAGGGGAATTTGGGTTTTAGGGAGCTAGAGGGGTTTACGTTTTTTTTGTTGTGTTTTTGGTTTTGGGGTTTTTTTTGGTAAGGGCTTCTAGAAATGTTTGCTGAGTTGTTTATTAGCCTAGATTCCATCAGAAAATACACAACCTGCTGTTATGACTGTAATAGAACTGTCAGATAACTGAAATCATAACCTTCTTATGTCATACACCCCACAACACCTGTACACAAGTCCTTGTACCGGCTTCCAGACAGACTTTACTGACTTGCTGTTCACTTGCCTTCGTGCCTCATGAAGAATTGCTTAAAAATAAGATTGATTGATGACATTTTGCAGTGTCTTTCACCACAGTAAAATTCCACCTTGCATTTTGATTTTTATTTATGTGTCTTGGGAAGGAAAGGAATTTGCTGTTGAAGTCTACAAGCAGGACATTCTCTACGAGATGGGGTTTCTTAGCTGAGTCCTGTCTTTGTCTTTGTCTCTACAAGTAGTTCTGTTTTTCCTCCTCCCCCCCACCAAGCTGTCTATGGTACAAGTAGTTCTGTTTTCACATCTGGCTTAGCAAGCTTGTTTTTATGATACTCAATTGAAATTAATATTGTAACCTGTGTACCTGCGAACTGCTGCCTGATGGGTTGTTGTGCTTTTTCCAGGATGGCAGGTACAGAGCAAGAAATTGTTCAGCCATGGGTTGTGGTGAATCTGGTAGTGTCTATTCTAGTTGGGACAAGTTGGATCTTCTTGTCTTACCGACCAGAGCTAGACCACAGTGAAGGTAGGAAACATGAATAGGCAAAATGTTGTTGGTTCAGACTTCTATCTGCTGTGCAGTGTGTTTGCTGTTCAGGACTAGTTCTGAGAAATCTTGTGGCTGAGGTAAAACAGACATCTCCTAGCAACTTTACAAAACAAAATCCAACATGCTTCTTCAGACTCCTTTAGCATTTTAATGTACAGATTTCTGTATTGCAGCTGGCCTCAGTTAATCTGCTTATTTCTGATAACTCAATGAGTTAAAAAAAAACAACCAAACCCAAACAACAGCTAAGTGGCAGCCTTTACAATGTTTGACAGTGAAATTTGTAATAGAAGCTTAAATAGAATTTAAAACCCATTCTTTAAATAGTAAAGACTTATTCAAGGAAGCCAGTTAGCAGTATTTAACTCTGGCTTGATATTTACATGAGCCTACTAAGATTAGAAAACCTGCTTCAGAAATTTTGAGAGAAATTCTATTAGAACGTATCCCAGATAGAGAAAGGAAACTGCAGACTTTAGTCTACTAGGGATGAGTAGCAAAAAGACACGAGAATCTCAAACTTGAAGGGGTATATCACATAGTTGCTTGTACAGATCATGTAACTTTACCATGTTGACAAAATGTTGGCAAACACATCCTGGTCTGTACGCTGAATGTGCTGTTAGCAAGACAGAAGTACAAGAATGCTGAGGGTGCAGTATAGATACGTAAGGGAACCCAGATACAAGAAAACTAAGCTAGCAGCACAGAGCTCCACAAGGGCTACCACATCAGCTGTTTGTGTGCCTAGCCGAATTCCTCTGCTGCACCTCTTCACTGCTGGCCTTAGGCTGTCTTCCATGGCTGAGCTGCTATGATGACAGCTAGTTGTGAGCAGCATCATTCATGATTCTTCCTATCCCAGGTTCTGTGCTGCTGAATTACCCTGTAACACACAGAGCAAATATATCCATAAATGAATGAGTCTCTGAACAAAAATCTTCCCTCGAGTCTGACACACTCAAAACTTAGTGGACAGTGGTGGCCCTTGCCGTTGCCGAGTTGCTTATTATGATTGGGAATAAAAGCACGGGGCTTGGGGGAATGCCAGAGCACTTTTCAGGAGTAATGAAATCTTATTAAGGTGAAACTTTAGAAAGAAAACCTGATTCTTTTCTTTCTCTTTTAGAACTGATGTTTCATGCTGAAATCAAGGAATTTCCTCAGGGAGATATCTTACCCAGAGTCCAGCCATAGTGTGGAACAAGCGTCTGAAAATGTTGTAGCTGTGACTGATGGCTCAACATGTTGTGTATTATAGCCACGTATGATAACTTTCATAAAGAAGAAGAATGTATTTTTATATTGTATATATTTAATTTTGGTCTTTTTATGTATGCTACAAGTTCCAAATGGGATTGAAGACTTTCATACTTTTGCTTTTTATTTTACAAAGTAGATTATCTCTAGTGTGTAATGTCAAGGTGATTTTGTAAATACTGCTACCTGTTTAGCCAAAGAAACTAGATGGATGCAGAAGATCAGGCACTCAGTGCTTTTTTTGACTGCTGTACAGTCTTCAATAACTCGCTTTTGTTACTAATGCTGATAGCAGTTAGCTTACCTGTTTTGGTTAAATATTCTCTAGAGATTAAAACAAATCTTACGAAAAATGTAGTCTAAGGAAGATTATAGCAAAACAGTAAGCATAAACCCCACAGTGTCAGTAAGCATAAAATAACCTAGGTTTAGCTGTAATTAAAAGTATTTGCTAGAATAAGAGATTGGATCATCGGGAATTTTGTTTAATAATTCCTTAAAAGAGGACACTTATTTTTCTTCAGTTCGTTCTCTTGATGAAAGATCTTGATGATAGTAAGTTTTTTCAAGTTGATGTAGATACAAGAAAGAGAAGTTAAATGTTGCAGCAGTTTCGTCAGTTAATTAACGCCTATATAACATCTTTTAATCAAGCAGGGTGGTTTTGGGTTGCCAGCAGGATATATGTAGGTGCTGTCATTTCTTGACAGCCAGGATGCATGACTATTATAAAGCCGCAGTTCACAGGAATAGTGTTCTGGTTTCTTCTTCTCTGGTATGGTAAGAGCACTAGTGTCATTCACTGCGATTTCCAAAGAAATTTGGATTTCACAGATGTTAGAACTGTTCCTACTTCTATGTATTTTGATGGAGAGTACTTTTTCCTCAAAAGGATGTTTGTTGTTCTCTGTTAGGATGGAATGGGAAACTCCTAAAATTATTAAAAAAATGCTTTCTAAAGAAAAACAAAAACTCTGCAGCAACCCACCTTCTATGTAGTGATGCGGTAGTAGTGCAGTTGGTGCTTTCTGATTATGATAGCCAACATTCTTTTTTATATAAAAGTGGCAAAATGAAAGTACTGCAGATGTAAATAAATACAGATATATTGCAGGATGAAACAATCTCCTCAGTAGACATAGACAAGAGCTAGTTTGAAATCAGTTTCTCAAGAAAGTACTACCTAAAGCCCCAAAGCTATTTGTATATGTTATTTAATATGCATTGATCTTGCATTGTCAGCAGGTTTTTTTTATGTGTATGTCTAAGTGTGGTCCTAAAGGGTGTGCCATTGTCACAAAAAAGCTACAAAGTTTCCTGTGGAATAGCTATACTTTCTAGTAGTGAAGTTAGGAGTAGCCAGATAAAAGACTAAGGGAATGTTAAAGCTCCAGTAACTTTCTGTGCTGTTAACCAGAGTTGCTTTAGAGCAAGGTTGGAACATGAGTAACTAGGGCAAGCTGCTGCCTTATTGAGGACTTGAATTCTGTTACACCCACACAGATATCTTAATTAAAACATTCACTGTTGATAATATTTTTTAAATGCTGTGGTAATCTTGAAGGGGGGGAGGAAGTTCTACCAGAATTAAAAGCTGTTTCACAGCTATTGGCTGTGTTCTGGGCCATTCTCTTTGTTGTAGGAAGAAGTGTTTAACCTTTTCTGTAAATTTTTATGGCTCTTGAGTATTTTTGGGAAACTGTAGAGCTAGATTGTGGATGGCACTGCATTGTACATTAAAATGGAGAGAGTCAGGGTGTTGCACTGGAGGTTCTGTCATAATTAGCTGTAAGAGATGGGGGATGAGGCACTACTTAATGTCCCCATGTATGTTGCCACAACTTTCTCCAGATGTGGTGTTTGATATACAGTATTGTCCTATGGCTTTTCTTTGCTGCTTGAGATTTCTGTCATCTTGACATGATAAAAAGTCTAATTTTTCCCATAAAGTAATGGAGCTCAGGCAAAACTGTGCTGTCATCACATCAGTACAGGAAATATTTGAGTAATATCATTGCTGACATGATTACTAGAAATGGGCCTTCCAAGTATCCCTGGACAAAGCGATGCTAGCCAAGAGCCAGATTAATTCTCACTGTGAAATACAGTAGTTTGTTTAGATGGCTGAGCAGGGATTAAGTTAATGAACTTAACGGGATCAATATTTCAAACCTGCCTTGCTTTTCCATGTATCTTTTTGGGAGGGTCCAAGTATATGTATTTTTAAATGTGTGAGGTTTGAGGTTGCCATTTAAAATCAGACTTACTAAGCAATTTGATGGTTGATTCTCTATTTTTAAAAGTACTTTTCATTCCGTTGGGCCTCACAATGGAAGTATGAGTTTAACTGAGTTTTTTGTCCAGTTATTTCGAAGGTTTTAAACAAGTTTACAAAATGCATGTTCTGTAATTAAACATCTAATATCTGCAGAAGCCTTAACTGAAATGCCTTTGTGCATTTCCCTACCATTGTTTTTAATGCAGTATTTCTGTGTTAATGAAAAAACCACAAAGATGTTAGTGCCAATTTGTTGGTTTTATGTATATGAAACAATTAAACAATTGCTCTAAACTAGCTAGAGAATATTGTACTTCTTTGTCCTGTTTCCAAATGCTTAGTCTGTTTAAAATAAATCAGTCCCATCTAATTTTTTCCCCCAGTGCTAGTATTATGCATAATATACAAGCTCTGAAGAGGTGATTATGGGAAACTGGTTTTAATTTATTTGTGGCAGTGTTGTAAATGATTCCTTTGCTTTCTCTCCATCAGATTCCTGCTGCTGTACTAGTGTTTTACACAATTGGAAATGGTATTGTAAACTCATGAAAACTAGCAAGTGTATTTCATCAGAAGCCTAAAAAGAATATTAAGAGGGCAAAGTGATTGCTGTCTTTAACCAACTTAATGAGTGATTACAGAGATAATATGAGTCAGACTCTCCTGAAGCTGCACAGTGAAAGGATGAGTGGAAATGGTCATAGGCAGCATCAGGGAAATTGCCATTAGCTGCCATAGGAGTTTTGACAGGGCAGGAGGGGGACCCATAGGGGCTGTCTGTGGGAGCTCCATCCCTGTAGCTTTTCTGGACTTGGGTGGACTGAGCCCTGTTGCCTGTTTGAAAGAACTCTCAGAACACAGTCTTCAGTCTGTTTAGAGGGTCTAGACCCTTGCAGGGTGCTGGCTGGTGCATTTCTGCAAATCAAGTATATGTGGTGCCTGCTTCTTCATTGCACTTACACACAAAAGTTACAAGGTAGTACACTCCTAGTTACAGTGATTACTCAGTAATCTACATACCATGTTTTGTCATTCCTTCTAATCACTATGCATGCTTGGAGGAGGGGTCTTCAGCTGGGCTGGGGTCTTTTTGACCTTTAGATGGGAGTTTTCATATTGTAATGAAGGCAGTTCACTTCAAGGACACCTTAAAAGTTAGTTTTGTTGCCAACTTCTTGCTTACAAGATATACATCTGATACATGGATAGACTCCACAACTCATTAAAGTTGTAAAGTAGGTATGCTTTTTATTCAGCACTGAGACCCACGGGGATAATTCCTCAAAGTCATGCGTACCTCAGTGTTGTTTCCCTCTACATTTATTCTCTAAAGTTATATATATTCATACGGTTGCACAATACACCTATACATATTCATGTCCTATCCCCGCTTCGTATTATAATGAGTTAGAAGGTCCTTTGCGCCTGCGCAGTGCCCCCTCTGGTCATGGGCAGGGGTCTCAAGATGAAGTAAATGAGTCTTCCTTCTGCGGGTAGGGGTCTTCAAGATGAAGTAAATGAGTTTTCCTCTTCTTGAACTTTTCACCTTTTAGTCTTCACATATGACTTTAGGGTTTGGTCGGTGTCCCAGCCATAAACCATCTGCTTCTCCCCCTTCAGGTGTCTGCTTTTCCTTATCAATAGCTGCTTATCAGTAGAATCAGTCTGCTTTTCCTTGTCAATAGAACCAGGTGTCTGCTTTTCCTTATCAATGGATAGTGCCTTTGTTCTGCTTAGTAGGCATGATACGTACAACACCCCCCATACAACCCCCCTGTACTTTGTATTAACCCTGTATCAATCCCCCCTTTTTTTCTATAAAATGAGTAAATTCTTTTACTATATTATTTATGACAGAGCTATCCATGTTCGTTGTATTGATTTATGAAGTGATTTTGATATACACTGTATTATGCAAGGTACAATCATTAAAATGAGTAGTCCTATAGCTTAGAAGGCCTTGTTTAAGTATTTCTCTGAGCCATCCAGTAACTCCTAGGTTATTTAGCCAGTCATCCATTCCACCTCCAACAATTCTAAGCTCCTGCATATCTTCCTGCAATTTTCGCAGCTTAGCATGAATTGATTCAGAATGGTCAGTTAAGTTCACCTGAAAAGGTGTCTGTTAGTACCAACAAATGTCTATTATACCCCCTTTTTCTGTCCTTTTGAAAATTCTCCTGCAACATTTTACATACTGCCATTACCATCTAGAGTATTTTTGAAATAGTTTCCTTTTTCTACTTGATATTTAAATTTCTTTTTTTTTTTTCCAATCTTCATAATTTATCACAGATCATTTACAAGTCCAGGAAGAAAATTTTGTTATACCACAAGTAATCAATATTAAAACAATTAATATTAATCAGGTGTAAGTATTGGTCCCAATCTGGTATGTCAGTTATCACATAAATCCAAATTACGACTGATACAATTTCGTATGTGAAGGTCCTGAAGGTTCCATCTGCCATGTCTTCTCTGGTTCTGGTGCTTTCTTCGTTTTTGAAGAAAGGTTGTTCCATTATCTGGTACAGTCTGCTCCACTTCTCCTGTAGAGGATCTCCTGAAAAATTCTTAACATAAATCCAATCTCTGGATCTAAAAGGGTGAGTCGGATAATCCATGCCTCTCGCTCTTGTCCCCAGTATTCTCTTATTTCCTCTAATGGCTTTCCCAGATTGATCAGAAACTCTAGGAGATAACCTTCTCCCACTTCCAGAAGACTTTCTCCTTTGAACTGGGACCGATATGGTCTTCCA